GCATGGAGCTGTACATCCACTCCCCCGTACGATTTTATAGCGTGGTGCTTAATTAATGAAGCCTGCTTCTAGAGGAATGGACAGCGGAAGACAGATGAAGGCCCATTGCAAAGTGATAACTTCAGGCAATCCAACGTCTCACCGAGATGGACCCTTGAGACAAGGAAAAGAAATCGCTTGTATAGCAAGAACACGTGTCCAGCATTTCACCGTAGACAAATGCCATCCTGCGAAAGTCCAATTTATACCCCTGTCAGTCTTCAGATATTTCTGGGAAGTTTAATGTGGAACGCGAATCAAGTACCATCCACTATCTCCCTCTCTGACACGTGCATCCCTCTCCTAGATTCTCGCGGCCAGAACGACAACAGCGCCGTGTAGTGGCCGTTAGGAACTGGTAAACTTGAAACTTGGGAAACCTTGCAGCGACCTATAAATATATAGTTTAAGCCGCGAAAGCTCAGTCGGTATAGTGACGGTCTACGGGCGTGGGCGGTCCAGGAATCTTGAGTTCGAGTCCTGTCAGGAAACATAGCATTCATAGCGCCTCTGGGGCCTAACAGCTTTCTGTACAAAGGGTACCGTGGCCTATTTCGCAAGGGTTAAAGCGACCGAACTTTAAAACTGGCCCCTCACCTCACGCCCCACACATCTTCATGGCGTGCAGCTTAATTAATTAAGCACAGGGGTTGGTAACCGGTTTTGTTTTTGGGTCCCCAGTCTTTATATCGCGGTGTCCGCGCGGTCTAAGGCGTGAACTGTCTTCGCCTGCTCGAACACTGGGATCGTGGGTTCGAATCCCACTCAAGGCATGAATGTCTGTGTGCGTTTATTCTGTGTTTGTGTTGTATATGTAGGTAGCGACCCTACGACTGGCTGATCCCCGTCCAAGGAGTCCTGCCGACTATATAAATTAAACTGAAAAAGTGGCCTAAGTCCACAAGGACTGTAGAGCCATAGACTGATGGATGGATGGACTTTAATGCTGCCATATTGTTTGATATTCTTTTGCTCATCTTCCATTAATAACAATTGTAATCAAGCAGGTTGGCTTAGCGGTAACGCTCAGTTCGTGTGCATCAACCGCCATTAATTCATACGCGTTTATAATAATGAGTGACTGTCCATACTTAATGAGACAGTTGACACATGTTATAACCGCGCCACTATTGACTGTAAGAGAAGCCCCTTATTGGCCCAAACACAGGGTCAGCAAAGAAATTAATTACCAAAGTCATTATCCTGTAGTGCCAGTAGAAACGCCGCCATTGCAATGCTCATTAACATTCAAAGCTATTGGGAATAGAAGCACTTTACATTCATCGACCCAAAAGTTCGCTCAGTGACGCAGAGGCAGGATAGCTCAGTCGGTACAGTGACTAGACCATGAGTTGGATTCCCGTGGAAGCGAGAGCTGAACGCGTCTCTTACTCCATAGCGTCCAGATCGAGTGTTGTAGGGGTAAAGCAACAGGAGCGTGAAGCTGACTACTCACTACATAGTAATGAAGTTAAGTGGAGCTATACCTCAACTCCCCATACGTCTTACTGACATGGTACTTAACGAGTTATGCACAGAGACAACTTTACCTTATCTAAAATCATTTAATGACACTTGCATTCTGGAGGTGCCCAATCATAATCTCGTTCTGGACACGGAGTATTGGTTCTGTTAGCAAGATTCAAGTTAATTTATTAAACGCCCGTCTTTCAGTGCTGTATACTCCTAGACACTGACGTCGTTGTAATATGAACCACAGAAGAGAGACTAGGGTTACCTGAAGGCGGATGTATACGAACTTCTGAAACATCGTGTATTTTATATATACTTCACTGCCCAACGCAATAATTCTGTAGCGAATAATAAGATGCGCCTATCATGAGCTGGGCCTCGCGCCAATTTTCGAGGCCGCGCTGTAGGTATGTAAAAGAAAGTGTTACAGAGATAACAGAGAGGTAAAACAACGTTTCTTTAAAAGGAGCTTGTAAAAATATGTGAGGTTGAATAAAGGACATCTCAGCTTTCTTTGTAATGGGGTGGGGATTCCGTTTGTGTTCCTTCCGCTTCGCCGTCGGAAGGTGCGGTTCTTGACCCTTAATATTGATCCTGCAGCATCCTTCTGCCTCAGACTATGTGTAAGATTCGTCTGGATCCTGGGATCCGCATACAGATAGCGAACACGTCACCATCCCGACGACACGACACCCCCTCCCTGGACCCGTGACCCGGAAACTGAACAGGGTGATGACTGCAAAGAGAAAACGTGGCCAAACACAACCCCTGTAACTGAAAACAGACATACGTTCTGAATTCAATTTTGGGCGCGTTCACAACGAAGATTTTGACTCGCTTATTATACCGGGTCTGGACCATCTTTGAGATAATATATTGTCTTACCTGCAACTTGCGTCTTAAAACCTTTATAAGTTTTAAACTTTATTCTAGAAAGACGTTTCATCAGCAGTTTTAGAGACACCTGAAGATGACCAGTGTTGGTCGAAACATGTAGTATGCATACACCAGCAATATAGAAGAGATTTTAAAATTTAAAACTGTTTTAAAGGTTATAAAAGGTAAACTGCATATGAGACGGCTAATAACTAACAAGGAATAAATGTTTGAGGTTGCGTCATCATCAAAGGAATGACGTAGATCATTATGTCATCATTACAGAGTCACTAGATTATATTTTCAACGTACGATGTGAGGGATTTTTTCTTCCAACTGACCTAATCCTTCCAGCCGCACTATGGCCCTGGAGTAGACTCAGCCTCTAAGAGAAATGAGTACCAGGTATCTTCCTGGGGGTAAAAGCGGCCGGCGCCTAATGCTGACAACCTCACCGCCATCTGTGAGCCGATTGTCTAGAGAAAATATGGAAGCCTCGACGTCTCACAACCCTATGGGCCTCCACGGCCTGTTAGAGGAATAGCTTCACTTTTTTACCTTTTAAACGTACGGTGCGAACCGGAATCACCATACCGGAAGTCTAGTTGAACACATGGGACGTTTCTTCTCTAAGGCTCTGTATTCGGGGTATGACGTGTCCTCAGAGACGTTTTATACTCGTCTGCTATGGGAACCAGGGTGTGTCACCGTCATTGGGTGACGTAGGCCGTCACGTGATTACAAAGTTACTGGAACGCATTGGTAGTCAGGGCAAGCGCAGGTTCCGTGATATGAATACTGAACTTGGACTCCTCAAGATTAATACAGCAGTTTTCTTATAAATTCTGAAGAAATAAAGGCCTTGATCCTACGTGTATTAGGATTAAAATAGGAAGCATAGGTGACGCATATAAATCAACATGTACGCGTTCATAATAACATTATATACCTCGACTAAGTGATTTCCCCAATAACTTCTGTAATAACATGCTTAATCTTCAGTCTCCAGTGTGTAAGTACTGAATTCCATTCGCTTTGCTTGTTCTTGACGGGAATGAAGCCGCCTCATTTGCAGGAACACAAGTAAACACAGTCTCAAGCAACGTAACTAGAGACAGACAACTGGAATATCTGGACCTTTTTTTTTTTGTGTGAATTATATGTAGAAACATATATATTGCATATGATGGGGCACGCGGTAGTGTAGTTGGTTGAGGCACTGTCGTGTAAGCCGGAAGATCGCGGGTTCGAGTCCCGATGAGGTTTTTTTTCTCACTTGGCATAATCCTTCCAGCCGCACAATGGCCCTGGGGTCTACTCAGCCTCTAACAAAAATGAGTACCAGGAATCTTCCTGGGGGCAAAGCGCGGTCGGCGCGTAGGATGACACCGTCACCGCCATCTGTGAGCCGATTGTCTAGATAATGTGGGAGCCTCGACGTCTCACAACCCTATGGGCCTCCACGTGCTGTTAGGGATAGCTTTACCTTTTATTGCATATGATAAACAAGAATGTGAATGCCTTCTAAACGTATGCTGCCAGTATAACATACTGTGGCGGAATGTGACAATTGCTACGCAACGTAATCTCGAGGTAAGGCAGTCGACAGTAGGACCGCGGTTGCTTAGTAGCCAACGTTTCGGTAAGCACGTTTTCGTGACAACGAACAATTTCCGCGGATACGAGCTAGCCTATACAGGAAGAGAGGATTCGTCGGACAGACGTCGTTCTTCTTACGTCACAGTGGAAGAGAAGACATTCGGCGTCCAGCAAGGAATGCAGCGAGTCTTAGGCAGCCATTGGTTGTGAACTGTCATAATTCATTGTAATTATAAAAAGTGCCAATAAATTGAATCATCAAATCCAGAACTCACTTTTATTCGTTGCGCTAACCGCGATACGTGACAATATCAATATAATACACCGTACTTGTTAGCGGCCTTTGCTCATTTTGAAAAAAATAAAATGAGGCTTATGAAAGATCGCCTTACTGTCTGTCCGCATGTGCCAACTCAAAAACCGCTGAAGAAAATTCCTAACTCCTGGGATTTGAAGCCTCTTTCTGACACCTGCTTCTGCTAGTTACTTTGTTTCCTTACTCTTCGACCCTGAAGATGGAAGCAGTATGTTCCTCCGAAACGTTAGTTAACATATATTGGACTACACGGCGCCACATCCCACAAAATGGCAATTTTCATAATAAGCGCTATAAGTGCCTAAAATCCTAGGAGCTGTTATAAAATTTGACATAGGAAGTTAAAATAAATTTTGTCGACGAATTCCAAATTTCGGTTAGAATTGCCGTAACGAACACTGCGTGAATATCTACATGCGTACTCCTCATTTCTTCCATTCTACTCCTTTCTGTTTTCTTATTCTCTCTTTCTTCCTTTCTTTAGTTTTCTTCTTTTTCTCTTTACTTTTCCCTTCTTTTCACTTTTCCTTTCCCTCCTGTCTTCGTGTTATTTCTCTTCCTCATTTTTTTTCCGTATTTTTGTCTTCCTTTCTTTCCTTCTCCTTTCTTTCCTTCCTCCCCCTGTTCTCTAGTTTCCTCGACTCCCTCACGCTCAATTCATGAATGCATTAACCTGGATGTTCTGTTCCTGTTTCAGCAATATCTAAGGAAGAGGTGGAAGAATCCTCTACCCGCGCCTCGAAGCTGCCTTACAACGGCTACTCTGACGAGTTCCTGGATAGGCTGGAGCCCAATGGCAACATCCCCACTGACAAGGACATGCGATACGGTAAGAACATCTTCATTCGCAATTCACTTCTGTTGACAGCGTCAATGCAGCGCCCTGAATTACCATCATGCTATACAGGGTGTGTCATTTAATTCGCTGTTCAAATAAGAACAGTACAGGGGAGGCCTTGCCGTACTCAAGCGGCTGGGCTTCGGTTTCACACGGCGGCTACCCAGTTTCAATCCCACATCAGGTCATAAGGGCCTCCTGGTGGACGAAGTTTCTCTGGGCGGCCTCTTTCCGAGTACTTAGATTTCCCCTGCCAATTCTCATTTCACTAACTGTTCTATCATCGATGTTATATAACCTCGATACTGAAATGGCGGATACCATTTAAGACAGTTTTCCACAATATATGCGGGAGTACGGGTGACGTCAGTATAACAAAGCATGGTTTATTTATAAATTCCATTTTTATCAGGCTATTGTTATTTTATTGTTGCGCAACAGTACCGCCTGTCAAAACTGTTCGCCGCCGGACATGTTGTCTGCGTAAACACGTCCTTTGTTCTCGACGTTTTGTTTCCAGTCGGTGTATTGTCTTATCCTGTGCGTCCTGGCGAGGGCACGCGTTGCTACATGCCTCACTAACAGCAGAAAACGATTTCGCCGCGAAATGAACACGCCTTCTACTCGTGAATGCATCTTGCTCGCACCTACAGAACTTCTGCTCAACTGACGAATAGCAGGAGCCTAGCAACCAATGTGAGAATGACTAGAATGTCACGAGGAAAGCTGGGAGAGTCCATTACATGGAGGGGGGAGGTCAACGGCTTCTGGTTTAATTTCTATGTTGTAACAATTAAGCGATGTTTGGTTTCCGTTTTAAATGATAAGAACGCCATGAAGACGTATGGGGCTTAAGTTGTAGGTCTACTTGTACTTGGCCTCGGCAGTACATGCAGCTGAGTGGTCAACTTCACTCCCCGGCCAGGTAAATTGAATACATGAACCAGAACCGGTCTGAACGGTGGTCCTGCCGAAGGCACGAAGTACGTGAAGTTTGGTACAGTAACAAGGTAAATTGTAAGTGAAGGTGTCCCTGTGCTTAACTAATTAAGCACTACTCCATGAAGGCGTATGGGGGAGTGTATAGATCCACATTTTCTTCACCTCAGCACTAGCTGGAGGTGAGTGATCAGCTTCATGCCCCGTCCGCTTTACCCCCGGGGAAGGAGCCCACCGTACCCATTGGATAGGAGACTCGGTGGCCCTCAGCACCGGTCCGGGCGACGTAAAAAATAGAAAATTCTTGACCCTACCGGGAGTCGAATTCCGGCCCCTCGGTCGTCCAGCCCGTAGTCAGTCGCTATGCCGAGTGAGCTATCCCGGCTCCCGTGTATTTTTATGTGGTCATGTGAAGTGTAGTATATTATGTTGAGCCAGCTGTACGATTGCCCGTTTGTGCTTGTTACTCTTGGGGGATGGCGTCAAACATCGGCCTCGACGTATCATTCGATAACATGTAGGAAAGAACACAGGAAAAAGCAGGGAAGTTAATAGCAGTAAATCTTGTGTAAAAAACGATGAGACTTCCAGCGGCTGTTGCATTAGTGTTTGTGTGCGTGTGCGTGTGTGCATAATTTTAAACAACGCCTGTTCCAATACGAAGATGTTTAGTAACTTGAATCACTTTTGCGCTGAACATCGTATCGCTTTGCACTCGGCTCGGACACCAAAATAGCGTAGTGTACGCTGCCGATAGCTGATGTGCTGCATACAAGCTAATAACAGGGGCTGCTGGCTTCGCGGGATGCATAATCTGTAGGGCTTCACTCGAAGAGCCCAGTACTAATCTGTGTAATTACCGCCTCCTGTACACCCCCTGTTCACCCCGCTGACAAGGGATGGATACTAGACATGTTCTGAGTGATTCTGGCTTCATTATGTTATTTCAGCCTCAGTTTGCCTCTGTTATTACCGCTTGGGTTTGCAATGATAAAGGTGATGTTACCACTGTCCTTAATTCATTAAGCTTCACGTTATGCAGATGTATGGAGCAGTGGAGTAAGCTCCAAATTTTCCCGACACTAGATGAACGTGAGTGATCAGCTTCACGCCCCTGCCGCTTTAACCCCCGAGGAAAAAGCCCCCAGTATCCATTGTAAATGAGGCTGGATGGACCCCAGAGCCTGTCTGGACGCTGTGAAGAAGAGAAAAATACTTTTCAGGCAATTGAACCCCGATTCATTAATCCCACATGCCTCTCTCCATGTATTACAGACGGGAATGACAAAATGGGGAGATGAATTCAGGTGAAGGCGGTACAAGCCAGACGATTTCAACTTTTGAAGCAGAAGAAAAGGATTAGTACGAGACAAGAACAAACACTGGGTGACCAGTTATGCAATGGTGACTCATGTGACGCTCCCTCGCTTGCGCGAGCACTCCACCACTCCTACATTAGTCGTCTAAAGTAAACGTAGTTTACTTTCCGAATAGCCCTCGTAATTAGAGACCATTTTGAATTCTGACGCATTTTGGCATTTCAGTAAACACCATGGAGGAAATTACGTAATGAGGGGCTCCACAATTTGTACGCTTTATGAGATGGTATTAAAGACCGCCTCTGTGGTCTAGTGAACATAGTTCCTGGCTACAAATCCAGAGGTCCCGCGTTCGATTCCCGGCCCTGCTAGATTTTATGAGAAGTAGTGGGTCTGGAACGTGGTCCAATCAACCTCGTGAAGATAATCGAGGAGCTGTTTCAAGGAAATAGCGGCTCCGGTCTAGAAAACCGAGATTAACGACCGTGGGGTTCGTTGCACTGACGACGCGACATCTTGTATCCGATAAAGTTAGCACTAACTTCGCCGACAAGCGGCGGTTGCTCAGTCGGTATACTTCGCTTGCGGACTAAAACCACGGAGGTTTTTTTTTGTTTCGCGAGGGGCAAGTAAGACAAATGGGAGAGACGAGGTGCCGTACCTTTTTTGTATCTGAGAACGGAAACAGATTCAGTATCCGAAACGTATTCTGTTCGGTAAGGCCGAGAAAGCCAGAATTGGCGCCTCCAGAATTATTTCGGTGCGAGGGTAGCTGGTTTTCGAAAACGGGTCGCCAAGAATGTTACTAACAGACTTAGCGTTTAAGTCGTTTAAGACTTGCCACCGCCGTGGAGCCTTCAGTGGAGAACACAGTTCTTCAGAACTAACTCCATGGAGCTGAGCCCTTCTTGAGAAGCCGCCAGTTGTGCAGCTACTTAAGAACTTCCAGACATTTTATGGAACCCGAGGTTTCATTACCGTATTCAGAAGAGCCCTCCACTGTTCGCTATCCTGAGCCAGATTATCCAGTACGTACCACCCCATTCGTATTAATATTATCTTCCCACTTACTTATTGGTCTTCCTGGTGGTCTCTTTCCTTCTGACTTTCCCTCCGAAATCCTATATGCCTTTCTCGTGTCCGTCAGTCGTTCTACATGCCCTGCCTATCTCGTACTCTTTAATTTCATTATGCTAATTGTTCTTTATGAAGGGTACAGATGTCAAATAAGTTTAATTTTTTGTATTAATGTTTAGAATTGGTTGCATTTGACACCGTATAGTTTCGTTGACGGATACAGTCGTTTCGGAGGAACGTAGAGCGTGCATTTGAACTTGAGGCGGAGACATCGTGTTCCTCCAAACGCTGGTACCTGCCCTTAAGACTACACGGTGTCAGAACCAGAAGACAGCAGTCTTAACCATCGCTTGCAATAAAACCTCAGCGTTTAGTATACTTCCTTGTTTCCAATTTTGATTTTTTGGAAATAAAACTGTGCGGGGGGGGCATCCCTGCCCTTTCCCCCTTTTCGGTACCCATGAAGCCCCGTACTTACTTACTTACTCATGGAGCTGAGCCCTTCTGGAGGAGCCGCCAATTCTGCAGCTACTCAAGAATTTTCCAACATTTTATATGGAACCCGAAGGTTCATTGCCGTGTTCACAAGAGCCCTCCACTGGTCCTTATCCTGAGCCAGATCAATCCAATCCATACTATCCTATCTCTCTAAGATCCATATTAATATTGTCCACCCACCTACGCATTGGTCTTCCCAGTGGCCTCTTTCCTTCAGGCTTTCCCACGAATATCCTATATGCATTCCTCGTCTCCCCCATTCGTACTATATGCCCTGCCCGCCTCATGCTCCTTGACTTGATCATTCTAATTGTACTTGGAGAAGAGTACAAGTTATGACATGAAACCCTGTACTACACAAAGAACCCTTTAGAATTGAATCGCCAATCATTATTCACGCGACAGACGCTAGTTAGTAGGCAGAAACAAATGTTTACATAGGCATGTACTTCAGGGGACATGGGGAGGTGCTGCACTGTGTACCGACATCGGACAGTAAACGATAATCATACACCAGGGTCCACAGTTCCTGAACCTGATTATCATACTACAAAGGCTAAGTGCATTATCTCATGCTGTGTCCATCACTCTGACGTAGTTACCATGCGGTAAACGGTAACAGGCCGTGGAGGTCCATAGGGTTGTGAGAGGTCGAGGCTCCTATATTTTTAGACAATCGGCTCACAGATGGCGGTGAGGTTGTCAGCCTTACGCGCCGGCCGCCCTTTACCCCCAGGAAGATTCCTGGTACTCATTTCTGTTAGAGGCTGAGTCGACCCCAGGGCCATTGTGCGGCTGGAGGGACTACGTCAATTGAAAAATCCAGTGACCTCATCAGGAATCGAACCCGCAACCTTCCGGTTTGTAGCATAGTGCCTCAACTTCCTGCATTGCCAAAGAGAACATCAGGAAGTGGTTAAAAAAATGAGTGCGTTATTCAGTTCTGAGAAATGTAAGCAAAATCAAGTAACAATTATACTCTTTAAGAAATGCAGGATTTGAGGTTCTCACAGCGGTAATTACGAAGATTTCAGTCCTCTGGGGTATAACGCTCTGTATTCCATTGAAAGCTAACAGACGTTTCGGAGGAATATGCCGTCTCCATCTTCAGGGTCGAAGAATGAACGAAAGAAGAAACCAGCTTGAAGCAGGTGGCAA